GTTCAACATGTAAGAAGTAGAAAGTACAGGTATTTGTGTTCAACATGTAAGAAGTAGAAAGTACAGGTATTTGTGTTCAACATGTAAGAAGTCAATGTAAAAAGTAGTCAGAAAAATAAGTAGTAACGAAGTATTTGTACTCCACTACTTCGCGGCTCTGCTCACCGTGTGGCAGAGTGATGCTGGCTCCGTCCACTATAGCCTGGGCCAGGTCGTGGTCGTTGCACTCCAGCGCCACAGTAGCAGCTTTCAGAGCGTCCCAGATCTCCTTTCGGCCCTCGAAGGCGGGCGCCGTGTCCCAGAACTCGTCCCTCTTGCTCCGCAGCTGGCCCTCCGTCATCGGGTAGTCGCTCTTCCACTTGGGACGGTCTTTCTTCAGAGGCTCGTTACGTCCTGCGAGGGGAAGGAGAAGCAAGGGAGGGTCGTTAGGTAGTGAACAAGTGTGGTACAGGTACTGATGTCTGGAAACTCTTCAGGACAAACACTGCTTTTATATTCATATTGAACTATTCTCTAAAACAGTGGTTCCCAACCGGGGGTACGGGGACCCCTAGGGGTACTTGAGGGGATCGCAGGGGGTACGTAGGTGCCTGGCGTTCTAAAAATAGCGCAAGTCATCGCCAAATAAATAAATAACTTTTGTGTTACATGAATACAGAAAATAACAATGTTTCTTTTCAAATATGACGGATACACCTTTTCAGAGAGGAGACATTATTGGCTTCCTAAATAAGTAGTGAGTCTTAACATAATTGTTTTACCTGACAACAAGTGTACATTTCAAGTTTAAAGTTTTGTATTCAATGTGAGTTATACAAGTTACTTTCATTTTGGAGCAGTTGGGTTAAACACGATAACAAAGGGTTTAATACACGAAAGAATGTAGGCAAATTATAAACAGATGAGTGAGGGGGTTTATTTATAGAATGGCGGCCAGCTCAAGGGGTACACGAGACAAACATCGTTGGGAAAGTTTTTGTGTCATTGGTGCGTCCTAAAGATTTTGATATTTCTTAAAGGTCGCCTATTATGCAAAATCCACTGTTTCATGTCTCTTCTACATCAACATGTGTCCCCTCTTCTTCATGTCTCTTCTACATCAACATGTGTCCCCTCTTCTTCATCAACATGTGTCCCCTCTTCTTCATGTCTCTTCTACATCAACATGTGTCCCCTCTTCTTCATGTCTCTTCTACATCAACATGTGTCCCCTCTTCTTCATG